GGATGGATGGATGATGGATGGATGATGGATGGATGGATGATGGATGGATGATGGATGGATGGATGATGGATGGATGGATGATGGATGGATGATGGATGGATGATGGATGATGGATGGATGGATTGGGACACTAATATCCAGTCCATTACAATAATCCAGTCTAGAACCAATGACTACAGGAACGGTCTTCTCTAAGTCAGAGAGATTTAATTTTTTTTAACTTTGGTCAGTAGAAGTAGGTTTAAGCTAGATTTTACTACAGAGTTAATTTTTTTATTAACCTTAATCTCCTGATCCAATTTTACCTCAGGGTTTCTGACAGTTACATGTAGGTTAAAAGGCAGGGCTCTGACATCTGTAGAGACAAAGTCACCAAATAAAATACTTTCAGTCTTTTCATGATTTAAAAACAAAGTTTTTACTAAGTCACTGTGTAACAGCTGTTATGTAGTCCACTAAAGACACAGCTGTGTCAGTCATGTCTGGTTTAAGAGACAAGTGGATTTGTAGGTCATCTGGTAACAGTGGGATGACTCTTTGATATTATTTCTCCTAGTGGCAGCGTATAGAGGGAGAAGAGAAGGGACCGAGGACGGAGCCTTGTGGCACCCCACACTAAAGAGGAGCACTGGAGGAGGATAAGTTATTGATCATGACAGAGAATGTTCTGTCAGAACCTCTTCAGTGCCACAGTGTTTAAACCATGGAAGTCCAGTTCTCTGTGGATTTGCTGTCAGGCTCGAGTTGTTTCCTCTGGTTCTGTTGGGCCTGTGGTTCTGGAGTGATGTGGACCGATCCTCAGAGGAAGCAGGTTGTTTTCAACACATCTGGTTTGTTTGGGTCCAGCTGATCCAACAAGCAGATGTTCTGAAAGAATTCACACTTTATGATTTTCTTGGTTTCATTTCCTTCCAGTCCGGTCTGTGCGGCGGTTCTGTGACCTCGACCCGCTCACTCCTCGGTGGGCCGCGGGTGAGAGCGGCGTCGCGTCTGGAGATGAAATAAAACATGGAGCTGAGATAAGAAGCTGCAGCTCTGTTTGTCTCAGAACCACGTCTGGTTCTGTCGGATCAGTTTGAAATCAGGCTCTGAGACAGGAAGTGTTTGTGTTCAGCTGCAGCATGGAGTCCAAAGATTTAGTTATTTATTCAGGTTCTGATTCAATAAGTCCATAAAGCTCCTGAAGCAAACATCGTGGCTTTAATGAACAGAAAGAAGATTAGAGCATTTTTCTCTTTGGACACATTTCTTCTTTAAATAAAAGGATTGTTTGTTTCCTGTTTACATTTTAATAAAAGCTGAGAGAAAAACAACAAATAAGTGCAGATAAAGTCCGACTCCTCCTCATGTGGAGGATTATACAGACAGAGGCTCTGGATTACAGATTATACAGATTAGCCATGCAGCGTGAAAAACAATAACAACACTTTGCTGCACAAATCATGAATTTGATCAGTTTGTGTCGATGAATACTGATGTCACAGGAAGGAAACATTATTAAACATTATAACGTCCTGATGCATCTCAGTAATCCAGGTAACAAATCAAAAGGAAAAAAAATAGTATAGGTCTTCTGGACGGGTTCTTCTCTAATGAAACGTTTCGTCTCTCCTCCAAGAGACTTCTTCAGTCTGAGAGTTTCAGGCTAAATTCAGGCTTTTTGAGTCCTGCCTCCAGGTGACTGATAGCCATGTAATGTGAGTATCAGTCACCTGTGAACGATAGC